TAGCTTTATTAAAGCAACTATTATGAGCTATTAGCCTCATAAGTCTTCAATGTGGCCATCATGTCCTGGATGAGATTAGAGTTGGTCAGGGCTCTTGTATCTGATAGTCAAAAAGTCTATAGTTTGATGCCATAACAATCATCTCCATTGGGAGGTGGAAAAGTAAGGGGCTCTTCAACTATATCAAATTCCGCATTATCTGTTTCAATATTCGCTTCTGAGTTAGAATCCGAAAGGACATTTGTGAGTTCAATAGCAATTTGCTTCCTGAGGTCTTCTTTGGATATATTCGGATCATTACTCAGAATCTTAGCCTTTATATTTTTCTTTAATGAGGATAATTTGTCCATAGAAGAAGACTCTGATTCAGATTTAGGATAGATATATTTTCGACTGATATATTAGATAGTTAAATCGGGTCCACCATTTCGATGCCATTTGCCTACATAGGCTTGGAGGGTTAATGGAATTGTCTACTACATATTGCCATGCAACAATCCAAGGAATGGCAAATTTTACCATAAATTCCATAAATGAGTCATCATATTGAGAATTATTTTCCTTGAGAAGAAGTTCACAAGTATTATACTTTTTTCTAAGAGGGTATGGTAATATTGCTGGTTCAGGACCAAATTGGGCCCACCAATTACGAACCATGGAGAAATTTCTTGCAGGGACTATGAGGTCATCTTCCTCTTCTGGCTAATGGCGTGCTCCTAACCCACGACAAAATGCTAATAAATTCTTTTCCTTACAGGCTACATCTCAGGATAAAAAGAAAAATATTGAAGTTGAAACCCCTGCTAAATATTTAACCCATGATATTTTATAGCCAATTGTTCCAATATCACAAGATGATATTAATCTTCACCCAACAAAAATAGTCCAGTCCTATTTTCTTAAGGGATATCATTATCCTCCAATTGCAGCGGAAAATTCTCGTCTATATTTCGAAGAAATTCTCAAAGTAACTGGATCTGCTCATTTCAATCATAATAATGAAGACAACCCAGGTGGTCCCATCCCATTCTCCCAAATGGAAATATTCAAAATACTTTTCAGAAAAGACTGGTCCTGAACCTGCTCGTCCTCGTCAATTCCCAACTTATTGAAATATTTTTCCAAGAGAATTTAATTACTTTGTTTATATGAAAACCTAGAAATATGCTCTTTATTACCAAAACCCCAGATTTAAGCATTCTTGGTTCATATGGTTTTCCAAAGATCGCTTCTCCCAGGAAATTCCTCCATGGTTCCTTGATTGGCGGGCCCAATTTGGTCCCAAACCAGCAATATTACCATACCCTCTCAGAAAAAAATATAATACTTATGAACTTCTTCTCAAGGAAAATAATTCTCAATATGCTGACTCGTTTATAGAATTCATGGTAAAATTTGTCATTCCTTAGATTGTTGCATGGCAATATGTAGTAGACAATTCCATTAATCCTCCAAGCCTATGTAGGCAAATGGCATTGAAATGGTGGACTCGATTTAACTATTCTAATATATCAGTCGAAAATATATCTAATTATCATAAATCTGAATTAGAGTCTTCTTCTATAGATAAATTATCCTCATTAAAGAAAAATATAAAGACTAAGATTCTGAGTAATGATCCGAATATATCCAAAGAAGACCTCAGGAAGCAAATTGATTTTGAACTCACAAATGTCCTTTCGGATTATGACTCAAAAGCTAATATTGAAACAGATAATTCGGAATCTGATACAGTTGAAGAGCCCCTTACTTTTCCACCTCCCAATGGAGATGACTGTTATGGCATCAAACTATAGACTTTTTGACTATCAGATACAAGGGCGACACGATGGCCCACATTGAAGACTTCTAAGGCTAATAGCTCGTAATAGTTGCTTTAATAAAGCTACTTTATTTAAAGTTTTTGTTAAAGAGAAATTCTCTTATCTGTAAAAAGATCTCGTCTGTAAAGAGATTCCATCTTATCTTTTGCTAGCTTTTGGCCGTGATTCAGGGCTAGTGTGTCAAGACTCTGGATCTATATAATGGATCAGTCTCTTAAGGTTTAGGCATCGTTTTTTGAAATGGGATGGGACCACCTGGGTTGTCTTCATTATTATGATTGAAATGAGCAGATCCAGCTACTTTGAGAATTTTTTCGAAATATAAACGAGAATTTCCCACTGCAATTGGGTGATAATGATATCCTTTAGGAAAATAAGATCGGACTATTTGTGTCGGGGAAAGATTAATTTCATCTTGTGATATTGGAACAACTGGCCATAAAATATCATGGGTTAAATATTTAGCAAGGGTTTCAACTTCAATATTTTTCTTTTTTTCCTGAGATGCAACCTGTAAGGAAAAGAATTTATTAGCCCCTCCCCCCAATCTGTCACCACCATCATCAATTGAACCGACCCATTGAAAGCCAAAGGTAAGCCAAAGACCCCTTTAGAGTCCTCCCCTACTGTACTTGTGCCAAAATCCAACACACGATTCAATCCCTTCAGCCCATTATACATTCTCAATTCCTTCACCAAAACTGACGCAGCCTCCTGACTCAACTGAAATTTTGAGTCACGTCCCCCACACACCGTAAATTTGTCCAGACCTACCGGGGCAGCCATCACTGATACATTCTCCCTTAATTTAGGAGAACAACTCAGCATAATATCCGGTGTATGATTCCTTAACTGTCCCACCTCATCCTCTATCTGTGCATCTAGCCCATCCCCTCCGAATCCACTTCCACCACAGGCGACAACACCCCATTTCTCTACAACTTCCGGTCAACCTCCACCCCCATTTCCCTCCTCAACACCCCATAAGAAAGAGTAGAAGAAGAAGAAGAGGGAGCAGACAGGAAGCTCCAAGATTTAGGGAAAACAGACTTGGACAAACCCATTTCTGTTTCTCCTTCCATGACTAGCGATTCCTATCTCTAACTGTGGGTTCGCCATCCTCACGAGAAGTTAATGACAAAGACTGAAAATCCGAAGCCTTTTGCACACAGCAACTCCCATGACAAAACCTTCTCCCCTTGCAACTGCCATAAGAGCTAGCTCTAACCCAGTTCTCTTTATCCGATCGCGTCTAGTGTCTATTAACCTCACCGAACATCGCAGCAGAATTCCCCACTTGGGCTTGGCCCAACCCATCCCCTCTGGATCTCCTCTCCTCTTCCTTCGAGCCCAAACCCAATACTCTGATAGACAAACTTTTATTAGGGCCCCAACACACAGCCCATCTCTCTTCTATTGGACCAAATTATTAGGCCCAAACCCATCATTGGACTTGTGCATCTGAACATAAGGACCAGCTAACCTGTTACGCGGCCCATTAAGCGGCCCACGTCCCCCCCGGCCAGCCCCTTCCAACACCTTATCCATAATCTTCACACCCCTATCCTCTGCACGTGCACGCCTCCAATCCACCCCTTCCCCACTCGCCTCCTGGCTCCCGCGCGTACCTAACACTTCGTCCCTGACCTGGATGCCATCCATCTTTCTCCGATCTACCCAAGCTCGCCGACCGGATTGAACCAGCATCAGATCTGCGCAACACACGTCCATTATTCTCAAAATTCAAAGGTGCCATGGATTTCGCCGCCACAAATGGAGCAATCTCCTCCGTCACCGAGATCTTGAAAACCCAATCTCTGTCTTCAACGATCACGAACTCTGGTATGACCCCACCGTCAGCCAGCGTGATGACTGTCCTTTTAGTCTCACTCTCAGAAACCTCAACCTCCCTAAACCCACCACATAATTCCCCTATAGATTCAAATAGCTTCTGACACCATTAATGAAGTGGAAGCCCAAACAGCACTATCCTCCTCTGCCTCGTCCATTTCCTCATCGCCAAACACCCAACTCTGTAAACCCACAAATCAATCAGCAGTTGTGCATCCCCCCAAGTTTTCTTCCCCCATCTTAACACCCTCTGCGCTTCCTTCTCCAAAGGAAATCAAAATAGCAACAACCCATCTGGTAAGTTCGAAACCTTAACCCCACATGAAATTTGCCAAATCTTCGAAGCCCACTCCTTAATTCCTACCAAGCTACCAACATCTCTGTCGAATCTCCCAAAAAGGCAAGATTAAAGCGTCGTTTCCCATTGACTCGTACTCTTCTCATCCACCTAGAAAACAAACCCTCTGTCTGAAGATGATCACACAACCTCTTCCTTCAACCCCAAACGTGGCAGACTTGCAACATCCAAAAAAGTCCTCTTCATGACATAGTTTATGTATATATAAAAATATCTTCTCGAAAACTGTGCCCCTAACTCCAAATCACCTGAATCGCCTAAAATCGCCTTCATTCTATCCGCGCATCAATCCTGATCTGCCTACTAGAAATAAATACATAGAATATAATTTTGGCAAAACTGGATATGTGAGGAGATTGCGAAGATCAAGAGTGAAGAGGTGTATCAAAATATGAACACTTTAGCCCCGTTTGGACGCCCTTCTATGACATTTTACTTATCAGAAAAAACAAATGAACAATTTTTAGTTCCTTAAGGTTGATTATGTACAACAAATGCAGTAGTGAGAAAAAATAATGTAATTTATATTGGGGTAATACTCGAAGAAAGGGAAGGTAGATCTTTAGGGGAGTTACTTTATTTTTTGGGAACTCCAGGTTCTTAGGGCCCTATTTGGGCCTTGTGTAGCTTTCTTGGGAGGCATTCCCCGTTTGAACACTTTCTAATAAAATCTTACTTATAAAAAAACAAAAAAACTCAAAGAAAGGGAAGGCCAAACTAGCATGAGCTTAGATATTAAGAAAAGATGTGAAAGCATGTGCTTTTAATGAGGTTATTGCATTAGAAAGAACAAGATGATGAAGCAGGATTCATGTAACCAATCCCACAATGTTGGTTCAGGGCTTTGAGTTAAGTATATACAAGTCCTGTCCTAGTTAAACTTCTATAAGCATAACCAGAAAAATGTACTTTATAACCTTATGATATGCAGGAAGAGAAAGGAGGATCATAAATATGAAAACTCTTGCCTGTTCTCTGGGTTCCTAACCACAAGATTTCTGATCATCATACAGGAATTCCTCTGCATTTGAGATGCTCCAGGAAACTTCTGCATGGCTTGGATAGCTAGGTCTCCTGCTCCAGCTTCAATGGCACGAGCAGCATTGTATGGGGATCTCAAGGAGAGGACACATATAATTGACATAACCTGTACCATAAGGAAAGCAATTAACCAAACAAATGAAACTCTCCACATAAGCTAAGCTAATCTGAAACTGCATAATCTAATTGCTGACAAAAGGAGTTAAACTAGACCAGAGGATCAGATACATCACATGTTCATTAGCACACAACAACCAGTAATGTTTTCAATAAGAGAAGGATCTATTGCTTGTTTGACAAAAGACACAGGTTTTTCACCAAGTTCTTTGATGATGAATCCTTGTACATCTACAAATGACATCCTTCTTGAAAGTAATATCTACTAGATGGTCATTAGTTATCTAGACCCTGCATTTTATTTAACAAAATAATGCCGCACATCTGACTTCAACTAAACCTAAAATACTAGCTGACATCCAATGAAAACCTCAGGGAACATTTGTATATACTGTAACTTCTTACCTCTTGCAGAACAGATGGATCGTCAGAAAATCTGGATGAGAGTTTGATTAGCCTATCCATTCCCTTTTCAACAATAGTGTTCTTATTTGCATCACTTCCTGCCAACTAATCAAGCATTTCATCTCAGGGTGCAGCCAAAAACAAAAAGAAAGCAAGTGCAATGTTTCAGCGGTGATTCAATGCTATAACAAGCCGTAATCATTAAAAGTTTTATACATAACATTCTGAATTGACAACTAAGAATGCTACAAACTTGAGACAACTAGCGGTTCATTTTTATCATAAATTATATAGCTGGGGATATATAAGTGTCTGCAAAAAGTGAGAAATGTTTTATCCATATGATCCTGAAATAGAATTCAATCATGGATTAGCATGTGCGTATTCATGACAGTGCCAACGACAATATCTAATCACTTCTAAAATCTTTGGGAACTAAATGAAAACTGAACTAGCACATTTTTTCTCCCATGCAATAGCAGGGAAGAAAACACATGATTTAGTGGATAACTAGTTTTTTACGTATTGTATCGTGTTCCCATTAACACTAGCATAAGAAATAAACAAATTCATTAACTCTACACAAGTGTCACAACACTCACACTTGCTCCACGTGGTTACTAATAATAAGTTTGAGGGAATGAATAAATTAAGAATCATACAGGAGTTCTAAAACCTCAAATTGCATAAGATCTCAAATTGTATTTTCTTCATTTCTATAAATTCAGGAATCAAACAGAACATTGAAGAACCATAGCCTGTGCCTAGACACAATCCTCTCATACAAGTACAAAAAGAGAGTAAAAACAAATCAGCCTTTTGTACAAGACCATTTGTGCTGTCAAAGCATGCCATGAAATTTGTACTTAATGAATATGATGTATAAATTTTTACTTAATTATAATTTTACTACGATTTTACCCTTTTCGTCTCTGTTAGAAGCGATCTTTGGGCGATTAGGGTTTACTGGGGATTGCTGCTGCTAACATGGATTAGGGTTTATGGGAGGATCTTTCCTTGAAGTAGCAAATCTACCACGTCTCATTCTCAATGGCGAGGTTGAAAGCTTCCCAATTGAAGATGGTAGGACCTTCAGGGTCAATCATCACAGTATGGCATGCCGAGAATCAGTTTTAAAATCCTGCTTTGTTGGACACTTCAACAGAGATGTGGGAAGTATCAAGTCGATCGAGACGTGGGCGACGCAGACTTGGAAGATCGCGTGCAGGGTAACGGTTTCAACCCTGCCTGATCATCTTCTTCTGTTCAGATTACCGTCGGAGAAAGAGGCACAAAGAGTTCTTATTTCTGGCAAGAAGACATGGGGCGCTGCTACTCTGTCAATTGATGTTTGGTATTTTGCAGACGGTTGCTCGGCGGTGAGAACAAGGGGAAGGGGAAGACAAGTGGTGATGTACGAATTGCCCCTTCATCTTCGCTGTCAGATGCTGTTCGAAGCCATAGGGAATATGTGCAGTGGTTTTAGAGGCGTGGAGGCGGATGATATGATGGTAGGAGAGAGAATTACTCTTTATGTTTGTGATGAAGGTGTGATCCCGGATTTCATCTTCATTGAAGATTAGAGAGTGGCCTTCAAAGTTGAATTGAGGGAGGAATTATCACCATCCATCCTTCCGAAAGCCTCCATCGACTCATGTTAGATCCACACCACTGCCTTTTTTTTTTTATAAGTAAAATGTATTAAAAAGCGTTCAAAAGGGGAACGCGTCCCAAGCTATACAAAGACAAAACGGAACCTATGGACTCAAAGAGCCCATGAAGTCAACAATATCCTCAAGAGAGGAGTAATCTCTCCCCCGACCCCAACAAAAAAGAGTATAAATAATAGAAAATTTTAGCACCCCAATGGAGGACTCCTTCCCATCAAAAGATCTTCTATTTCGCTCTTTCCAAAGGCTCCACCAAATGCAAAAAGGGTTCACCCATCAGAAAACTCTCGCCTGAGCCCCCACCCATTGGCCCCTCCAAATATCCAACATCTCCCGAGAGGTCCGAGGCATGCCCAATGAATACCAAACAAGCCAAAAATGAGACTCCAACAGTCATGAGCAACAGGACAACGCAACAGAAGATGATCCACTGACTCCCCATTAATCCTGCAAAGACAACACCAATTAACAATGATATGCCTTCGCTTCCTCAAGTTATCCAAAGTCAAAATCTCACTCCAAGCTACAGTCCACACAAAAAAAGCCACCCTAAGAGGCGCCTTAGACATCCACACCATCTTCCATGGGAAGGTGGTACCATGAAAACCAGAGGCACACAAAACAGGACAGGACCTGGAACATCCTATGAGAAGATGGCACCCAAATCAAGGAATCAGCACCAATACCTCCCACCTCCTGTTTGTACGGGAGAGCCAAAAACCCAGTGACATCATCCAACTCTCAATCCTGAAAAGCTCACCGAAAACGCACATTCCAAGACAACATTCCGCTATCAAGGCGATAGCAATCAGCAACCATAGTATGTTTGTCAACAGCAATCCTGAAAAGCCTGGGGAACAAAAGAGCCAATGGCCTATCCTCACACCAGGACTCCTCCTAAAACCGAACATTCCTTCCATCCGAACTCTGAATCTAATATGTTTGGAAAAAACATCCCACCCCTTTCCAATAGCCCTCCACACCCCCACTCCACTAGCAGACCTAACTGGTCTAACTGACCACCCCCCTCTCTCCTCCCAAAAGTGACACGAAATAACCCTTCTCCATAATCTATCTTTCACTGCCAAATCTCCAAAGCCACTTGCCAAGAAGAGCACTGTTGAAAGGGGCCAATCTCCTAATTCCAAGCCCTCCCAACTGAAAAGGCCTGCAAACCTGCTCCCATTTAACAAGATGATACTTGAACTCCTCTCCGCGACCCCCCCAAAGGAAGTTCCATTGAAGCATCTCAATTCTACCAACAATAGAGGCTGGAATCCGAAAGAGCGAAAGAAAGTACGTTGGGAGGCTTGACAAAGTACTCTTCACTAACGTAACTTTACCACCCTTGGACAGATATTGATTTTTCCAACCAGCTAATCTTCTCTCGACCCGCTCAATCACCGGGTTCCAACTTCCCACCCTCCTGGCCGTCCCCCAGTGGCAAACCCAAATATGAGATAGGAAAGCGTCGCGTCCCACACCCTAAAATAGCAGCCAGAGAGTCCACCTCCTGAACCTCCCCCACAGAAACAATCACGCTCTTACCCACGTTAACTTTCAAGCCAGAAACAGCCTGAAAACAAACCAAAACACATCTCAAATACCTTAACTGGGACACCTCTACCTCGCAAAAAACAATAGTGTCATCCGCAAAAAGTAAGTGAGAGATCTCCATCTGCTGAACTGAGTCAAGGCTGATCTTGAAACCCCTAATAAATCCCAAGTCCACTGCCCTTCTCATCAACCTACTAAGGGCCTCCACAACAATAATAAAAAGGAATGGGGAGAGAGGGTCCCCCTGCCTCAAGCCACGAGAACTGCTGAAAAACCCCGAAGGAGACCCATTCACCAACACCGAAAACCTGACAGTGGAAACACATGAAACAATCCATTTCCTCCATCTCTCACCAAAGCCCATCCTCTCCAACAGATAAAACAGGAAATTCCAGCAGACATGATCATAGACTTTCTCGATATCCAGCTTGCAAAGAACACTAGGAGTCCCACTGCAAAGTCTAGAATCCACACATTCACTAGCAATAAGGGCGGAGTCCAAGATCTGTCTACCCCCAATGAAAGCATTCTGAGACTCGCAAATAACTCCATCCAGGACCTCCCTCAATCTAAAGGTGAGGACTTTTGCGATGAGCTTGTAAATGCACCCAATCAGACTAATAGGTCTAAAATCCTTGTTATTAGAAGCACCACCCTTCTTAGGAATAAGGGCAATAAAAGATGCGTTAAGCAATTTCTCAAACCGCCCCGTGGAATGGAACTCATGAAAGGTGCCCATAATCTCATACCGAACCACCTCCCAGCTCTCCAACAAAAATCTCATCATGAAACCATCAGGGCCTGGAGACTTATCACCATTGCAACTCTTTAAAGCCTTCAGCACCTCCTCCTCCGAAAAAGGACTTTCCAACCCATCCCTTTCCAAGGCAAAAATAGAATCGAAGTGAAGACCATCAAGACGTGGCCTCCATCAAAGAGGCTCAGAATAAAGCCTTTGGTAGAAAGAGACAATACTGCTTCGCACCTCCTCCTCCGTAGTCAAAACCGCACCATCCACACACATCCGCCCAATATGATTACTCCTCCTATGAGCATTAGCAGTTCTATAGAAAAACTTCGTATTTCGGTCTTCCTCTTTGAGCCACAACGCCCAAGATTTCTGGCGCCACGAAATTTCCTCCAAAAGAGCAATCTCCACACATTCTGCCTGACAAGCTGCTCTCCTACTGCATTGAGATTCAGAAATAACACCCTCCCCTTCCAATCTATCAATCTCGGCAATATCAGCCAAAGCCCTATTCTTCCTCCACTCCAAGCTCCCAAACACCTCCTTATTCCACCTTTTGAGATTATTTTTCAGGAGTCGAAGCTTTCCTGCAAGAATATGGCTCGACGTACCCACCACCAGCTTCTCCTCCCACCAAGAATGCATAGATTCCTGGAAATTATCCGCACAAAGCCACATGTTCTCGAAGCTGAAAGGAGTGTTGCGAGATCTCAAACCTCCACAGTCCAAAACTAAGGGAATGTGGTCCGACGTCACCCTAGCCAAAACAGCCTGAACAACATCCGGGAACTTCTCCTCCCAGTCACTGGAAATCAAAAATCTATCAAGGCGAGAGAAAGTTGGAGCTTCCCTTCCACTGGACCAAGTGAAAGAAGCTCCCTAAAGAGGGAGATCAATAAGCTGGTGGCCATCAATAAAATCAGAAAAGTGCATCATAGCCTGAGTCCACGGACCATCTGTAGATCTCTCCGCCGGGGATCTAACCACATTAAAATCTCCGGCCATGCACCAAGGAAGAGACCACCTCCCCTTCACCCCACTCAACTCCTCCCACAATCCATCCCTCACGCCATCGTCAAGCAACCTATACACCCCAGAAAAACCCCAAGTGAAACCATCCTCCTCCATCA